TATATATATATAAATAAAATAAAATCTTTGTATGCTGGTCAGATTGCCCCCTGAACCTAAAATTTGATTACATTTAGAATGAACTAACTCTGACTTTATATAAATAATAAAATATTTAAGACAAACTCATTATACTAGGACCACTCTAAATAATGTCTCCCAATAATAAGTTGTTCTTAATTCCATAATTTCTTCCACTACTTAATAAATGACCAACACTTTTTTTTTTTTCTTAATGACCAACACTTTTTAGGTGCACAAAAATTGCTCATGGAGGAAAAATTAAATTAGTATTAACTGACTAAACCAAATGAAAATAATAGTTAATTAAATTATAACAATGAAAATAATAATAAAGACCATTTCTATTGGACAAGTATTTCCTGTGTGCCAAGTACTATTCTGTGCTAAACATAATAAGTATTATTTTGCTTATAAACAACAAATATAATGTAGGTACTATTGTTTTTCCCTCAGAAAACAGATCCATTTTGCTCAGCTTTTCCTGACGGGGTCTTTCTGAAAGCTTTTGACTCTCCTGCCTCAGCTTCCTAGTGACTAGGACTGCAGGTTCGGGTGATTGCTCAGCTCCGTTAGGGTGAATCAGAAATCCAACCCTGGCCTCCCGTGTGGTCATCACCTCCCCAGTTAGTAACATCTACAGGTGCCCGTTACTTTGGGCCAGAAAAACAGATTTTATAGAGTAAGCTTCCCAAATAAAACGGCAAGTGAATGATAGACTCACGCTCACACACCGATCTTTTTGGCTTCTATTTTACAACCGTAACTCTTTCCTCTGCTCCTTTAGTTCAGACGTTTCTTCAGTGCAAAGTTCAGTCACCTCCTAATACGGTAAAGGTACTACTTAAAGACATTTGGGTTTAATTTTATAGCTATAGGGTAATACTTGATTGTACAATTAAAAATCATTGACAAACGAAGTTTTTGCCTTTTCTAAAAAGGCTAGTTAAAATTTTAGTCTTTATTCAGTTTCTTTGTTGTCACAACTATCACCCCCCTGTAACTGCCATCATCCCCAGTATGTGATGTAATAGTTACGAAGGAATTACTATGTCCTAGGCACTGGGCTAAGTAGTAGGCCACTGCAGATGCATCCCAGTCACTGCTCATTTGCCATCAAACACTGATTTTTTTACTGTGGTCATTATTATCCAGCATGGTATACTCGATATTTAAAAAGCCATTAACATGTGAGGCAATAGTGTAAGTGTATTTTGAAGCAATTTTATTGCTTTATAAAAAATAATATTTTCTAGAAGACTTGAACCACTGTGCTTTTGTTAGCATTTTTGTCAGAAAGGATGCTGGGGAAGATATTTGTTTTTCTTAAATTCTGTAGGCTGGTTTTATTAAGAAGATACAATGGAAAATCACACAGCTATCTTTCAGTTTTCCAAGTTGATTTTCTAATGATCAGTGGCAGATTTGACAGTTGCAAAAGCTGTTTTAAATTGCTAAATGAAGAAACAAAGAAATATACAATAAAAATACACTCTATGTGTCAAATTGTGTTATATTGCCTGCATTAGGATTTCTCTTCAAAATAAATTTGATTTTTCATCATGTATACCTATTTACATACCAATGCTTATATAGTCCTCAGAATATATACAATAAGTTGATCTAAAAATCATTGGAGTTGTGACAAGTATTCATTTTTATAGTTGGTTATCGACTGCACATTGAAACAATTTGGTTAGTTCACTAATAACTTTCATATTTTGACACCATTTCTATGAAGAAGTGCATGAAATTGTTTCCAAAGTTAATGGGCTTTAGCCACTTGCTACATACTGCTTCTCTCTCTCTTTCTCTCTCTCTCTCTTTTTTTTTTTTTTGTAAGATTTTTGTTATAGGGTATGTGCACTCTCTGGAGAGACAAAGACAGAGAGACATAGAACAACAAATCACCTACCAGGGGGCATGACCACACTCCCATTCCTTTCCTGCATTTTCCTCTCAGGATTTTGGGCATGCATATACACGCTCCCGGTATGAGTTTCAAGCACTGGTTCTGGGACTCGAACCGTGATCAACTACATGGGAGTCCAGCACCTTACACTACAGCACGTACTGGTTCCATACACATAGCTTTCTTAAGATGAGGGCATTAGCAGGGCCTTTAAAAGTCTTCCTCTCCTCACTTTTCAATGTAGTCTTTTTTCAGTCAAAACTGTTATTTGTACTATGGACATGGTAAAAACAAGTCTGAATCAGAAAAAAATGATGATCTAGAGAGGAAGATTGATTTTTTTCTTCTGTGTAGTTCTGTTTTGTGATGTGTATTATTGCTGTCTGTTTGAAATCAATGCCTATGTGACATTATAATCCCTCTGGCACGTTGCATTGAAGTTGGTTCAATAAATCAAACCTCATGCAGTTGGTATCATTTTAGCCATAGGCAACCAGTGGTTTATCTGAAACTAAAGCAGTAAACTTGTATTTGAAACCTCTTGGAAGTAATTGGAAGTTTCCCTAAGTAGAGTTTTGTGATAATTCACTAATGGTCAACTAAAATTAAAATTGGTATTATGAAGAATAAAAATTGGTAGTAAAATTCTGTAACTCAGATTTTCCATAGTCAATTCTATTTTAAGGAGCATTGCTGATGGGATTACAATTTAGTTAAAAGTAACATTTTTATAACAAATAATAATACATTTATGTTTGTTTAAGGCAAAATGAAATCATGTACTTTTACAATCCAAGTGAACGTAGTTTTTCTATTTACCACACACTATTATCAAATTTCATGATGCTGTCAGTGGACAAAATATTGCCACTACCATAAGCTGTGGAGAAAAGGATTTGGAATCTTTAAGTTAAGTAAAAAACAATACTGGGAAATTGAATCATTATGAATTTCTTTGAGAATTTAAAGTAATATTTCTATTCTTCTGAAAGTGGATCTATCAGCAATCAATTAAGCTAGTATTTTCTTCTAGTAGGATATTACAGGGTAGTCAGAAAAGTCATGATGCATTTTTGCATAGAAAAATCTGTCATCACTTTCCTAACAACTCAATAATTCTATGTAAAGATGGTCTCAATGCAGATTTTCCCCTGATATCTGTCATTTGTATTTGTTGATGAATATAACATTTTAAAATTCCCCTTGTCTTGGTTTAAAAAATAATAGCATAAGCAGCACATGCTCCTCCGGTAGGTTCAATAAATGCAACTACGATATGTCAACATTCTGAATATGTCCATAGATATCGGTGAAGCTAATTTACTAAGTAATCAGATTATATTAGAATAGAGATATCAACTCGAAAAACAGTCTTCTAATATGCTCATTTGATGGGCAAAGTTGGCTAGTGGTAAAGGGGCACGTATTTACAAAACCCAGTCAGTTGAACTCATTTCTATCTAAAGTATTATTTAATCAGATTTGATGAGGAGAGGTCAAGTTTCAGGACCTCACTTGATATTCATCTTTGTTTGGGGAACAACAAAAGACTGTGGTCCATAATTTTTATCCTTACTCATTGCATTCTTGCTGATAAAAATCACTAGTGAAGGTAGATCCAGGTTATTAGACTGGCCAGTTTTGCTCTATAGTCTTGTTAGATTGTACGTTTTAAAATACCTATTATTTATTTTATAGTTATAGCTATGTAGGTATCGAGTATTGACTTACTAATTAGCATACTGAGGAAAATATTTTCAGAATGAGATTTCCTCAGGGTGAGAGTTCCTGAGATTTCATGGCTCTGGGGAGGGATTTAGGGGACAGATTTGAAGACCCCCCGATGCCTTTATGCGATCAGGTGGACTATGGAAAGGATGAGTTCTCAGAATGCCAGAACAAAGACTGGGGTGGGGACTGTTTTTAGCAATCCTGTTATTAGCACTGCAAACTGCTTTACAACCTTGTCTATTATAAAAGTGTTCACTTCTTTCTTGTCTTTCAGTCCTCCACAAGCAACCCAGAGAAGTGTGTCTCTGTCTGCTCGAACTTGGCCGGATTGCAGCTAGGTGAGTCGAACTAGGCTTCTATGCCAAGATATAAACCATCTCAGCATCCAAGCAATAGATAAATTTGCTAGATTTTCATTTTCGATTTAATCTGGATGTTGAGTATTTACCCACTCGAATATAATTGGTATGGACATCTTGAGAAAAATTGTTCAAACTAAAAACATGCCGCCAATGTTCTTAACATCACTATTATGTTGCCAAAACCACTATGTTGAAACATTTGCTAAAATCCTCTAATCAAATAAATTTTCCCTCTAGACATTGTGAGAAATGAGGAAGGACTTTATATGTGAAGTTTTATGGAACAGTTAATTCTATTTTTTTTTATTTTTAGAGAAAGAGAGAGAGATTTGAGGTTTTTGCTATAGGGCGTGTGTGCTCCCCAGAGAGACAGAGAAAGACAGAAGGTAAAATATCACCCCCCAGTAGGATGGCCACACCACAATCCCTTCTCCATTCTCATCTTGGGCACATATGACATATGCACACATTCCCAGCATGAGTTTCAAGCCTCTGGGTCTGGGACCTGAACCATGGTTGACTATGTGAGAGTCCAGTGATATAACCATTACAACCATCTGCTGGTCCCACAGTTAGCTCTATTTTTTAAAAAATGCCTATGTGTTTACATGAGAAAGAGAGACAGGGAGAGAGAGATGGGAACCTGTCACAGGTTCTGGTTATGCTGCAATTACCCTTCTCTAGTCTTCCAGCTGGTGGGATCTTTGGTACTCCCACAAGTGCCTGAAGTATTTTGTAGGTTGACCAGGCTGGGGTTTGTATTGTTGTGTTTTAGAGATAATTTTGCTGTAGGGTGTGTGGACTTGCCAGAGAGAAACAGAGAGACAGAATGCAAGAAATCACCCCCCAGGGGAGATGGCCACACTATAATCCCTTGTCCTCCATTCTCTCAAGATTTTGGGCATGCACACACATGCACCTGGCATAAGTTTCAAGCCTCCAGGTGCAGGACTTGAACCATAGTCAACTCAGTCTGTGTCCAGTGATGTAACCATTATGCCATCTGCTGGTCTCTGGGCTGGGATTTTGAAGCTAGGTCAACATATGAGATTCGACTTCTCTTGAGCATAACCTCACTACTCTGCTATAGAGCCAATCCCAGCTAATTCTTTCTGCAGTGGAGAGACTTCTAATCTCTGTATTTCCCTCTTCTTCTACCCCCTTGCTTCTTGTTTACACTCTAATAATTTTCAGTCTCCTCTTTTGTTTGTTTTTCTCATTTTCTCCCATTCAACACTTCATTCCTCAGTTCTTTTAGCTCTCATTTATGAGTGGGGAGATAGTTTTTAAATTGGTCTCTATATTTTTATTAAAGAAAGATATAGAAGGTTTGTTCTTATCTAGAGACATTTTAGGAGATTATTTCTTCTGGAAGAAGGAAAAAAAGGAGAATTTACACAAATCATAGCTAATTATGTAATAGGACCAAAGGACTTTATCAGGTAAGTCAACTCACTTTGGTTTCATATTTTTCATTTATTATTTTGCAAATAACCAGACGTGTATTCAGAAATGAAACCCATGACATGTATTCAATATGAAACCTGTATTCAGTATGAAACCCAAAGAATGAGGAATGAAATACGGACATTGAAGAAGTTCTCGATGCAAAATAGAAATTCTTAATGAATTAGAAGATATTTTTTGATAGATATCTGGATATACTTTTAGGGTTGAGATCAGATGAACTAGCAAGAGAAAGTGAAAACTAGCACTGCTTTCTCAAATAGGGGCCTTCTGAAGAAAATCAAGAAAAGAAAATACAAGGTGTGTACATTGGCAAATTGCAGCATAGCTAGGAAACTCACTGCAGAAGAAAAAAACCTTCTTTCTGATATAATAGAAAATTAATGTGTAATCAGAAGTAACCCTGTGTTCTTCAAATTATCATAGTCAATATAATCTTAATAAATTGTTCATCAAGTATGATTTTATTTTACCACAATGATTGGGTGGTAAACATTAAAGAATCCATAAAGAAAGCATTCTTTAATGTTTAATTCAAATGAAATATTACTGAGTCTCACTCAATATGGAGTAGAAAATCAATTTGAAGCATGGAGTTTTCCCTACTCCTCCATTCACCATTCCCAGATAGCCATGTGACAGCCTCTAGTCTTGGTTTCACTCAAGTGTCCCTACTCAGTTATTCGTTTTAATTGACAAATAAAAATTGCACATATTTATCAGGTACAATGTGATGGTTTGATCTATGTATTCACTATAGAAAGATTCAAGCTAATTATCTCTCTTACCTCACCAATTTATTAAATTTTTATGGTAAGCATCATCATAATCTATCCTGACAATTTTGAAATATGCAAGACTTCATATATTGTATGCCTGTAAGAAGAAGGGAATTCTATCATTTGTGACAACATGGATGGCAGTGGAAGACATTATACTGAGTGAAGTAAACCAGGCTCAGAGAGACAAATACTCTGTGGTATCATTTCTAAGTGGAATCTCAAAATTCGGTCTCATGGGAACAGAGAGTAGACGGTGGTCACCAAAGACCGCAGTTGTGAAAGTGGGGTGGGGAAAGGGAAGCTGTTGATCGAAAGTAGAGAACTTCAGTTAGACTGGAAGAGTAAGCTTCTGTGATCTATTGCCCTCCATGTCACCATTCTTTGTAAGAAATGGACACTCTAGGAGTCCTGCTG